GTGACAGAGGCTTAATATCATATAGCTTAACCCTTGCGCAGACAACCAAAATGTTCACAGTTTTTACAGGCTTTAATATTTAAAATTATTTGCATACTTTTTTATTTTTGAAGCGTGTATCGACGTAAAAATGTCCAAAAAATAGGGATCCAGAGAGATTTTGCGACACCTTCACAAGAATATAAAAAATATACAAATGGGCCACACAAGGATTAAATAAAATGATTGTAAGCAGAAATTTTAAAGATCCATTCACAAATGACATAGGCACATCAATCGGTGTAGCCGCTTTATTCTTCAATCTATAACCTCGCTATATCGCTTCCACAGACTGTACATTATGACTATTAACGCTTTACTTTCGAATGGCCAACAGTCGACGGATCAAACATGGAATGAGAACTTAAATTTAAAAGAAAAATTCTAAAAAAAAAAAAAGAAGAAGTGTAACATATTCAAATTAATTTGCAGAGTATCTCGAGTGGATTCGAAGCATTTTTCCAGGGCGAAAGAAAGCGGAAAGGTACCGATAACGGTTCGACGAGCGCGGCGACAAAGACCGGAAGAACGTCGTGTTCCGCGATCGCGAACGTGCCTGCTGCACGCGTTATGGCAGCCAGCTTTTACTTACGTGCACGTATGACAACGTGAAAACCCACCTGGAAAATTGTACATTCGTGGGAAAGACAGAGAATGACGAGACAACGACACACGGATGCGTTCGTTGTTTACGAGGCCTTATCTGGTTGAGAGAAACAAGGGTTCCCAGCCTTGTTTAGAAAATTCTATCGCTTTTCATTTGTCGCGGCGAAAGGTGAAAGTACATGAAAAGTGATCACTTCGCTACTTTCCAAATATACGAGTATTTTTCATTTTTTTTTTTTTTCTTCCGGTTCGTTAATAGCGAGAAGTTATTTCGTTTGAGTAATTTTCCAGTAAAATCGGGAATTCTTGTAATTTAGTGAAAATTCAAGGTTTCAAAATACCTGTAGCGGTTTCTTAAAAAATTAGAAAGTATGGCAGTTTCTCCGGAAGATTTACATAATCGTACACTTTGATCCGTGGATAGTCAAATATTAGCTGCCTTGAAAGATTCGACGATCGATTTACGAATTCTCCAGCTTCTTACGAAAACTAGTTTCACAGGAGATGAGGGCGAAGAAGTTAATAGAATCTTACCTTGCTGGGGATCAGAAGACGAAGTTCATCGTCACCCTGTCTGTAACGCTTGTGAGGACTTGTCGGTCCTCCGGAACCTGTCATAGCGCCTGCATCAGCTTCTCTCTTCATTATTTCTGTAACAAAAAAACCAATCAACCCTTTAATACAATTATCGCATAAAAACTCTAGGAAAGTAATAGAACGAAGAAACTACTTTTTCAAACAAAGTTTTGAGACTTTGAAAAATTTTTATTTTTCGAACTTCCAAAGGACACTGCTTGCTAATAGTACTTTTTTTTTTAATCTATAATAACTATGTAATTTAACTATAATAACTGATGGATAATACAGCAAAGTGGTTATTGGAGGTAATTCGAGGCTAGAGCCACGTCACGTGCCTGAATTCAACCCTCCTCAGAACCCAAGGGAAACTGAGTTTCCCCTCGATTTCCAACTACGCACGCGCCCCGGAAACAACAACGACGACGCGCACCGCAATTCGTAATAAACCTATAAACATGCTTCGTATTCGCGTAACCGTCTGTTTGCGGGGGGGCCATACGGGAGGTAAACGCCGCGTAATTCATTGTCCGTTAAATCGGCTCGGTCGGTTTAATGACGTGGAGAGCATGGGAAACCGATGGAACGCCATCCTGTTTTCAACGAACGACCAAACTATCCGCGAATTTGTTGAAACCGTCCCCAAGTTCCCGCCAACGTTCGACAACTTCACGTGATGGGTTCTAGTTGCAGCTTGTATTTGTTCAACGTGTGTAAAATTTATTCCTTTTTTTATACAGACTTTATAAGATCAAAGAATTGAAGGATGTCAGAATTCACGGATTCGGGAATTAGAGATCCGAGAATTTGGGGTGTCCAAGAATTTAGAGATCCCAGAATTTGGGGGTCCAAGAATTTAGAGATCCAAGAATTGGGAGATCCAAGGATTTAGAGATCCAAGGATTTAGAGATCCAAGGATTTAGAGATCCAAGAATTTACACATCCATGAATTTAGAAATCTATAACTTCAGCAATTTGAAAATTCAAAGATCAAACAATTCAAGAATCCAAAAACTCAGGAATTTGAGAATTTAGTGATCAAAGAATCCAGGAATTTGTGAGATCCAAAAATTCGGGGATCCAAAAATTCGAGGATCCAAAAATTCGGGGATCCAAAAATTCGAGGATCCAAAAATTCGGGGATCCAAAAATTCGGGGATCCAAAAATTCGGAGATCCAAAAATTCGAGGATCGAAAAATTCAGAGATCCAAAAATTCGAGGATCCAAAAATTCGGGGAACCAAAAATTTGGGGATCCAAAAATTCGGAGATCCAAAAATTCGGGGATCCAAACACTTAGGAATTTGAGAATTCGGAGATCCAAGTATTCAGGAATTTGAGAATTCGGAGATCAAAAAGTCCAGGAATCCAAGAATTTAGGAGACGCAAGAATTCGGGGATCCAAAAATTCAGAGATACAAGGATTCAAGGATTTAAAATTTCGATCATTCACGTATCCAAACGTCCATAAATTCAAATGTGCAAGAATCCTAGACTCAAATGGGGAACGAGCGAGAAAAGCGGAGAATTTTCTTCATGGCGATTAAAGGATGATCAAGGACGCGTCAAATTCGTTAGAAAATGAGAAGTTCATTCGCCAGAAGCATTTATATCGCGGAAGTCACTATTAATTCGCGAAAGGTGAACGATATTTCCTTTTGCACGTGCCCTGGAATCTTTCAGACACGCTGGAGACCTGAAGTCGCCGAGATTCATGGTGCAATTAGGTTCTCGAAATTGCTTCCTTCCTAACCGCCGCGAGCATGGCATTACCAGCGATAAACCAGAAAAATTTCGCTATTCTGGCAATCGAGGGACCGTTTGATTTCTGGCAACGGTAAACGAAATTTCATATTCAATCATTTAAAGAAACAAGTAGAAATCGCCAAGTAGAGTTACGGGAAATAGTGGCCTGAGAGAAGAAATACAAATTCCATGTCTTTCTTTCTTTCTTTTTTTTTTGTAAACATAATACCGTATAAGTAAACACCGAAGGATTAAAATTTGAAAGAATAATAGATCATCAGACGTGAGGATTTTTATTGACGCCAAGTGGAAAGGGCCGAAGAAGCGTTGGAAAAAGGAACGGGGCGGACAGAACGAATCGATACGCGACTGGTGGACACGCGACGTTAATAATTTACTAGGGCGATTCGTGGACGAAGGGTGACCGGCATAGCCGTTGCGCGATTCGTCGCTTCGATTTCGTTGCGGTCGCGGGAAAAACGCAAGAGGAACGCTCGTTCGTCCATTCGCGACTCGTTAAAAAATCACGAGGCATGAACCGGAGTCACGAAAACCAGCCACGGAACTATGACTGTCTAACGATCGTCATGTTCAAGAAGTCTAACGGAAGTTCGATTTTTACGCTCGAAAAAACCCAGCTATGGCAAATGTAATTTCATAAAGCGTATCGTCTACTTTTCGTATGTTGACTATTATTAACCCTTTCGCTACGAAAGGTGTATGTACACGCTGTGTAAAAATGACCATTCCATTTAAGAACGAGCGTATATACAGGGTGTCCCAGTTGTTTCCGATCAAGTTCGGGAAACTTTGTCACTATGTTCTATGGGTGTAAGTAAGAAAAAAATGTTATATAAACATAGGACGTTTGAAGCTTTGTTAACAAGTTATAACGGAAAATACAAAAAGACAAAAATGGCGTCGACAAAAGTTAGATTTCACACCTTCAACTATCTCTGATCGTAAACACAGCTCGCATGAACAGACTAGATGTAGATATCGCTGAATTATTCCTATTTGGTACCATAACCGCACGTCACCATTCCCTTCACGTATCTTATTATTGTTATAACTTCTTAATAAAGCTTCAAACGACCTATGTTCATATAACATTTTTTTCTTACTTATACTCGTAGAACACACTCACAAAGTTTTCCGGACTTAATCCGAAAAAATTTAGACACCCGGTATATACACTCACTCAATGCACACAGTTTATTCATTTACTTTCGCACTTCACAAATAAAATATCGCTGTCGACTGAAAGTCAGCCAACACTGAAATGCACTAGATATTCGACTATCGTGAAATAGTCGATTTTCAACCGTACCCATCTTTATTTTTATATCAGCTTTGAATAATAAATTTTTCGACCGGTACACAGCGAGCACTTTTTGCCTCAGACACGTGTCGTAGCGAAGGGATTAAGATCGAAATTTTGTTGCAAAAACTGAACGTGTGACGATCAGAAAAACTCTACAGTGTGGCGTAAAATATAGAAAACTTGCTAACCCCAAAACAGTGTATCGAGATCCAGTTAACGAATTTCCCTACTACGAGCAGGAATTTTAACGAGCATCCCGTATATAAGAGGAAACAAAACCTACCGATTGAATACAACAACTTCGAAGGTTGCTAAATACTGTGCCGCTTTTGAAAAGCCACAAACATCAAACGGACGGGGCGCGATATCGCAATCGTGGGTAATTGCGGAAGAGTGAAAAATATCCTGGTTAAAAAAAAAAAAACAGACTGCGTAATCGAGAGAAGGAGAGACACGGATTTCGCAATTGTTGCTTTAACTTCGACGGAAAATTTCAAGCGCCATTTAATAAGCGTATCTCTCCCATTTCCTAGTCATAAATTATACTTTTTTCATAGAGTGAAACTTTTTCTACTACTTCGTACGGAATTGCACGTATTTCCGTGCAAGCAATCGCGAGAGGTGAAGGAGAATTTCTCGATTCGACGTGTCGACCGGTGAAATATGTACCATAATTACATTGTTAACCTGTTAACTGTGTTTTCACTTTTCGAGCGGAAATTTATTATCTCTAGGTTGTAATAAAAACTGAACAGAGACTGTAATTAATATCTTCATTTTATTTCTTGCAAATGTGAATGTGACGTATTTTATATTTAACACAAGCACAGCAATACGATTAAAGGGGAATAATCTTTCGATAAACTATCGTGTTCTAAGTATTTGTGTACCAATGACTAGTTAACTCGATTTCTACTGTTAACGAGATAACGTTACTCTCATTTTCCTACCTTTTCTACTTTTTTTAATCGTATTAAGAGAAACGATGAATATTAATGTCACCAGCTCTTTTGTCCGAGAATTCGTTCGCTTTGACAGTGTTGTTTACCAGCCGCGGTCCCGTTGCAGCGTTGATTTTTCGTTAAAAACACAGAAGCAATTTCCCAGGCTGCTGAACAGCCGGAAACATTTTCGTTCACGCGATAACTCGATCAATCGCCGTCTGCTCGCGTGATCCACTGACGAACCATTAGATCCAACAATTTCGAGGTGTGTTTTGTTGTTGGGTCCATTGAGATAGCCTTTGCACACTTCCTGACGCGAATTTTGAATAAACAGAAAAAGATTTTCTACATTTCCCCTACGGTCATCTCTATCGAAAACAATCTCGTCATATTCCTTACGAAAGAATTTTTAAAAAAATATAGAATACAACGGAGAGGCTGTTTAGCGCCCTTAGAGCAGAGAGATCACTTCGTAGCGAGCAACTATAGTCGGCTGTGGTAGTGAAAGAATTTAAAACATCCTTAGCTAAATTTATTAACCCTTCGACAGTTTATCCCGTGTGAGACTCGGGCAGAGCGTCAAATATCCAAGTGTTTAACTCTTTGGAAGAAAGTTAGAAAGGGACGAGATATTATTATCGTAACTATGACGTAGGGTTATGTATCTCTTGTTTTAAAAATAATCACTCACGGCGTAACTGTTAAAAAGATACGTGTAAAATCTAAATTTTTTTTACCGTAATTCATAATTTTATTAGGCTGTTAAAGGGTGAGGACCTTGTCCTATTTAATAAACTTAGAAAATTTCACCTAATTTTTTTAGAAATATCATTAACACTATCCAGTCCATTCAAAATCCCCCCCAAAAAATATTGGTTTAGTTAATTTTTGAACCGTGTGTAGTTTGCAACAAACAAGTAACGTGCGTGACCAGACCGTGTCGTGACACAAACTTCGAAAGACCTACGTTCCTAGTCGTCCAACCATTACTAAAGGGGTGAGGCAAAGGGTGGATCAGTCGATCGCCGCGTTAGTGGAGGGGGGAGATGATAAAATAAT